GTGGGGGTGGGGTGGGGCATCTGCAGTAGTGTCAACAAAATAATTTAAATAAGAAAAAAAATTTTTAATTATTTAACAAAATTTTTAAACAACAAAAATAATTTAACGGACAAAAGGACTTTTTGGTCTTGATATTTTAGGCTGAATGCCAGTTTTTGATAGTGTGGGGCTTTTCAGCCAAGGATTAAGGCTGAGCCTTCTGTGGACTGCCGAGCTACTGGTAGTGGATTGTTCAGGAACTGCAGGGCAGCTTTCCAAGGAAATCATATGCACACAGCAGCCAAACACTTTGGATCTTCCCAGACAATCCTAATTTCAGATATTCCATTCCCTGTGGAATAACAACCTGCTATTAAATAGGAAGTCAGTTACAGAACTGGGTGGGGTTGAAGGGCACAAAACTAAATATATTAATGAAGAATTGTATAAGGAATGGAGATGTAAAATATAGTGTTGGGAATCTGAGAGTTTACAAATTGCCCTAAAGAGGTACACAACAATTGTGTCACCATACTCTGGTTTGGAGGGAATTCCTAGTTACTGACAATTTACCGGCGCCCCTTGTGGAATATCTTCCTCCCCCCTCCCGGTGATTCCCCTCCCCCACTGTAGAATGCCTTGAGTCTTAGGTTCTAGTTCTGTTTTGATCTGATCTTTACCCTTCCCTCCTTGGATCCCTGTGTATCTACTGCAGCCAGGTTACTCTCTGGGTCCTGGACCTGACTTTCTCATTCTGGAGGCTTCCAGGCAGCCACGGGTAGTGCCCAAACCTGATAGGATGACTTCAGATGGAGGCAAGTCTGCAGGTGGCAGGCAGGGTCCTTGGAGATTCAAATTTGACGCTTTATCTGGGGATGAGCACTTTGGACTGACTTAGAGGAATGTGAGAGCACTAGAGCCCACCAAAGGCATCACACTTGGGGAGGCTGAGGAAGGAGATTGTGCCATTAAGACTGGGGGTTGGGGAAGGAAGAGGGCCTTTTGGGAGGTAGATCAAAGCACGCAGAGGAGAGTGAAGTATAGAGAAGGGATGGCAGTTAGCAACTTGCTACTCTGGAAGAGAGACCCCTTCAACCCGTTTGTGTGGCAGGGACAGGGAAGGGTATGTATGGGATATGTGGCACAGAGACCATTCAAGGGGAAAACCCAAGTTCCTGTGTCTTATTTAGGTAATTGGAGCTTGATCTAGAATTTCGCCATGAGAGAACTGAGCTGGGGCCACTCTCGATGTATTGGGGAGTAGAGTGGGGTGGAGGCCTTAGCTAGAAAAGCTATTCAGTGGGGTTATCTGTTACCAAGTCTGTAGAGAAATGTCCTCCTGAAAGCTAGACTGGAAGGTATAAGGGCCTCTGCTCAGAGTCTCAGGGCTCCTTCCAGCCCCAGGGATGGCTTCTCTTTCAGTTTAGGAAGCAGTTTTCCTTGATTCCTCAGGGCCAGGGGAGGTGAACCACTCCAGGCAGGATGAGAACTGAGGCTTCCCTGAGAAACACTCAATTTTTCTACCTTTTGTGGAGCTCAGGCCTTCAGACCCATTTCATTGTGTCAGAACACCTGGCCCTCTGCTCTATGGTTGAGGTGACGAATTTGTTCATATTCCAACTCCTTCATGGTCAGGAAGCAGAAGCTGAGTGTTGTTAGTTTGCAGGGAATACTCTTTATAAGTGGGGAGGAGAGTAGCATGAAATTAGGCAGATGATTTATTATTATAAAAAGTCCTAGGAGACACATGTCCTGATTCATTAAGTAACATTTTATGAATTTATCCTTGGTCTCTTTGACTAGAGCCCATGTAATTCCTCCTTAGCAGGTACCGTTTCAAACTTCATTGTCAGTGCCTTGCTCTTGGTGGGTCCTAAATTTCTGATAGCAGCTCCAAGCAGAACCAGATAGTCTGCACTGCCAAATTTTAACATGTGCAGCAGCTACATAAGGCTCTGGAAAACTCCTTTC